TGAACCAGCCAGAGGCTCGGCCGCACCGAGCCAGCTGGACAGCAGCAACCTGCGCCACACGCACACGGGACTGCGCGAGTGTGGACACAGCCCGCTCCTGCCCTTTCCAAACCACTGCGTGAAAGGGTGTCTCACAAAACGTTCCCAGAAACTGGGGAACAACAGAAGGGAGCCAAATCACAGAAAGACGTAAAAGCGGACAGATATTCCGACTGCTCTCAGGCTACACAGAGGGGGTGGCCCACCCGGACTCCCAGCCTGCCACCCAAATCCCTATTGGTGCATTTCCTAAGGAAACCTGGGCAGAGGAAGGCCGCGGTGGGGTTTCGGCGCTTCCAGGCCGGGTCCTCTGTCAGCGCAGCGGCCCAGAGAGGCCCTGCACCCTTCCAGCCATCAAAGGGCCTCTGCCTCCGCATGCCATCGTGCCTGCGTGGACCCGGCCAGCACCTGCCCTCACAAGCAGCCTTCGGGGACGCTGACGTCCACGTGCAGACTTAGAAAAGAACCACCTTCCTAGACCGAATCCTTTTCTGCGAAGACACAGGCTCCCAGGACGAGGACCGCACCGAGGAGGACGTCTGTGCCCCCCAGTCCTCATCCCGGTGCCTCCTCCCCCGGGCCAGCGCCTCGCGTGGCTCCCTGGGCCATGTCAGGGATGAAGGCCGCCGAGGATCTGGTTCCCTCCTCGGCAGTCACGCCCCAGGCCCCGCCACTCAGGAACCTGGGCTCGCTGCCATGTAGCTGGGGGCAGCGGCACCACCAGACATCCTCAGGGTGTCCCGGCCGCCCCTTCCCACCGGCACAACCACTATCCCCATCGCAGACTCGACTGGCAACACTGACAAAGCACCGGGCACTAAAAAAAATAAAATCCCTCATCTCTCTGGTTGGCAGCTAGGACTTCCCAGGGAAAATATCTGCTTTCCAGGCCTGCGTGCTGAGCGTCAGACCAGGATCGGGACTTGGGGCAGCAAGAACCAGTCAGTTGCGGCCCCTGATTTGGGCTCAGCCCACGTGAGCGGGAAGACGAGAGGCGCTGGGCATTCTGCCTGGCACTGCTGGGCGTGGACACAGGGACCTCCACCACACAGACCCGCTCTGCCGGCGGGGACGGGTCAGGAGGGTTCCGAAGGCAGCACCCGGGACCCCTGTGCGTGCCGAGAACAGACTCCAGGCTCTCTATTAAACTCCAACAGCACCGCACAAACCCTGCTAAACCCACAAGCCACTGAGAAACACCGTGGTGAAAAAAAAAGTCCGATTTCTACAAAAAATTAATCAAAACAGAAGGAAGCCTTAGCTCTTACAGCACAAGCTGTTCTCTTGGCTTCTGCACCTGCTGTGGTCTGAATGCTGGAGTCCCCCAAAATGCACCTGCTGGAACCTGATGGCCAGTGCAATGGTATTGAGAGGTGGGGCCTTTGGAACGTGATCGGGTCCTGAGGACTCCACCCTCGTGAACGGGGCGCTTCCGAAAGAGGCTCGGGCGAGCGTCCCCCCCCACCTCATGGCGTGGGCCGCAGCAAGAAGGACCACTGAGGAAGCAGAGAGTGGTCCCCACAAGATGCCAGATCGGCTAGTGCCTTGATCTCGGACTTCCCAGCCCCCAGGACTGTGAGCAACACATTTCGGCTGTGTATAAATTACCTAAAGTATTAAAGTATTTTGTCACAGCAGCCTGAATGAACTAAGATAGCACCTAAACAATCAGATCATGTGAGCAATCTTCTAAAAATTGACCTAGAAATTTAAACTCTAAGAACAAAAACTGCCACCAATCACAAAACCTCCTTCAGTGAAGGGCTCTGAAGACGATGGCCCAACACTGGCCAATCACCACATCTCAGTGGATGCCGAGTCAAAGAGCTAATTCGAACCTCATGAGAATGTGCAGAAGGAAAAAAAAATCCCCCCGGTTTAATGAACATCAAAACGCTTAGGCCAACGGTACCCAACTCTTTACAAATGTTATTTCAAATGGAACAGAAAGAAATAGATTTAGGTCACCTACGTAATTCATTTCTAAAGAAATATCATTTTTAAATAAGCTTCACTGCTGCCTTTCGAAAGTACACGGTTTAAGAGCGAACCTTAGAAAACGGCTGTCACGTTGGGTGCTCTTTTCGAGGGAAAATCCCAAAGGCTCTAAACCACGGCTCAGTGCGAATCCGCAGGCCGGTCCTAAGGCCGGGTCACTCGCTCAGGCACGAGCAGCGGGAGGACACTGGGCGGAGACCGGAGGAGAGGACGACTGTCAGGGCCCAGGGGACAGGGTGCCCGGAGTCCCCGGGAGCAAGGCCACTGTGGGCACCAGGACGGCGACCCTGACAGACCCCCGAGAGCCGGCGAGCCCAGCGCTGTCCTGGAGGGAAACCGCCACCGGGCTCCCCAGGGGTCGTTGCTACAGACCTGGCACGCGCTCCCGTCCCCAAATCGCCTGTGCCGAGCAAACACGGAAACAACGAGGGAAGGTTCCCTTTGCTCGCACACGCGTCGCTCCTTCCTAAAGGCCAGCGCCCCAGCACGGCACTGACGCGAGCAAGCCGGGTTAGGAACACAAAGCCACATGCGATCCCAACGAGTTCAGCTATTTGCCTCGTTCGATTTTTGTCCTCATCATCACAATTTTCCCAAAGGCGTCCATTTTTTACCATGTCCTCCTGCACCGAGCAAAGTGAAGGCCACCGAGTGGCAATAAATGGAAAGCTCCCGCCATCATCTCCCACGTTAACTCGGTTGGCCAGCCGCCTGGTCACCTCCTTCAAGGACCACCAAAGATTGCTCAGAGAGAGTTCAGGAAAGCACCCAAGAAGCACGGCAAGCAAAGCCCCCCGACAGCAAAACGCAGGCTCGCCTACACCAACCGTAGCACGAAGCCTGCGCTGCGGGGAGCACCTGGCCAAGGGGCGGGGCCCACCAGGGAGGCGCCCAGGATCCTATCCCCCTCCACCCCCCGCTCGAGTGTCCCTTCTGGGGGCCCCCACGCCTTGCCCCTCCCTTCATGTGGCCTGGACCTCGCAGTGCCGGAGTGGCCCGCCGCCCCGCCCTGGCCAAGGGCTCCGCGCAGGTGGGCAGGACCCATTCCCGCACAGCGCCCGGCGTTCTGCCCCCCGAGGGGCAGAGGACCCGGCCCAGCGCCACCGGACTGGGCTCTGCCTCGCTGCCCAGCCTCGGCCCGAGCACCTGACGGCAGGGACGCTGGTTTTCACGTCTACAAAATGGGAACGGCGGTGTTGCAGCGCACGCCGCGGGGGTCATCACACAGCATGAGCTGACTTTGTGTGGCTTGGTGTTCCTAACCACGCGTAACTGGCGTGCGGTTCGGAATAAGCCTGCTATTCATTCTGGTCTCTTAAAAGCACGGCAGGGCTGACGTGGAATAAACAGTAGTCAACCTTGACGTTTTATTACAGGTGTTAAGCGTCTCTGGTCAAAGAGAGCGGATCCTCCACTGGAGCGGCTCCTGGCGCAGCCAGAGCCGGGAGGCGGCCGCGCATCTGCGCACCTGTCCACGTGTGACCTGCCCCCGCCGCCTCCATCACAGCCCTTCTGTTCCACCGCCAAGCTGCGCTCAATGGCTCCTAATGATTGTCGCACCGCGTTCTCCGTGTCAAATACATACCAGGAGTTCATTCTTAAATTTCAATATCATTAATCATCCAACATTCAGCATCTCAGAACTCGGAAATTTGCATTTCGACAATGGCGGCTTTGAAAAAAGGACACGAATGCAAATGTTCCACAAACTGTACGAGAATTTTCAGAGAATTGCCAAAACAAACCATCAATGCTCCATTGACAGTGAATTTTCCGAGCTCTTCATAACGACTGAGGACTCGTGATTTTTAAAAGACAAAACACAATTTAAGGATTAAAAAAAAAAAAAAAAAGTAGGTTGAAAAATAAGTCCTCATGTCTCCATGATTTCCAGAACAAACCTTGACTGATTAAGAGCCCGGATAATGATGGCATGGAGAATCCAGGCTGGTGACAATCTGGGGGCTGCGAAAGGCCCCTGCCGGGTGGCCGGGAGGACACACACTTCAGACAGGCGGTGCCGCGGTGTCACCAAGCGCACACGAGGGCTTCTGCGACCCTCTCTGAAAGGCAGAAGCCAGCAGCACGCGGGGACCAAAGGCACTGCCCAACTCAACCCCGGTCTTAAGGACTCAGGTGTTTCTGCGGTCTAGAATACCTGCTGCCGACACAGAACCGCCCCACCCTCCCCGTCCTCGGGGCTCGGTCTTGCTGCCGCCCACCCAGCACCACCAGGGCCGCTGCTCACTGGGGCCGTGAAGTTCTTCCCCGGCCCTCACCGGCTGCTCCCCGTCTCCTCGGGCGCGTGAACGCAGCCCTGCCTCCTCACCTGCGCTCCCGGGACCCCCGCCAGCCGGCTGCACCTGCTGCCTGCACCCCTGCCCCCGAGACCCTCGCCTGCGTGACTCTCAGCCCCCCAGCTCTCACTCCTGCCCCCCAGCGCTTGCGACCCAGCTGCCACTAGCAGCTCAGCATCCGTACCCTTGGTTTAACTGCAGGTCCACAAAACTCACGTTCTCCCTGTAAAATTTGCCATGTTCTAGAAACATTCAACCACAGCAGAGCACGATTTAAATGCCATAAAAAATGTTTATGAGATAATTTCTATATTAAAATATAATCATTTTGGTGGCCACACGGTTGAACTGAACAGATTTAAGACCAAAGGGGGAACAGAGTACCGACACTGAGGGAAGCCCCGAGCCCTGCGAGGCCCAGCCCGAGACCCACAGGACCGACAGGCCCGACACCACCCATTGGAGTGAAGGAGGCAGACCACCCTGAACTCGGGAATCACGAGTCACTGCCCACACAGACTGCACCTGCTTCCGTGTGCACTGGGCACTGGGGACCGAACAGAGCATGAAGAAATCATAGCATGGCCCAAATTAAAACAGCGATCTTAAATGAGACAAGTTTCCCCCAAAATAGCTATTTTGTTTCTGACTAAACAGCGTCCACACCTCTCACCGAGATCCGGCGGAGACAGGAGACGCTGGCGGTACTTGGCCCGGGCCTGCTCCACCAGTGTGCTATCGGGGGCAACATCTGGGTGACCACAGCCGCACGAAGCCGTCGCCGGGCTCCTCGAGACGGAGAGTGTTTCTCCACGAGACTTTCTCTAGGCAGGAACATTCCAGAAAGGAAGGTCAACTGCACTGGAGGGACAGGACGGTGCCCCATGGGGGCCCAGGGACGACGTCTGGTCTTCCCGCCAGCGCCCGCGTTCCCAGCGTCCCGGGCGGGCGCACTCGAACCATGAGGCGAGAGGAGCAGCGTCAGTCGCTGGAGGAAAACAAAGGCACGGAGGGAAAAGGAGCCGCAGCTGGCCCCGCCCACAGGCCCACACGGGGTGCCCCCCACGCTCCGAGGACTCACCCCGGGACCCGCCCCAGGCAGAGGCTCTGCGCACTCATAAACTCGGCGGCCTGCGTGGGCACGTCCCTGGCGAGGCGAGGGGCGGGCGAGGCGAGGGGCGGGCGGGGCGGGCGGCCGGCGCTTCCGAGCCTCTCTTCAAAGAGCTCTTCTGAGCCAAGGCAATCCAGGCCTTTCCTCCGGCTGCTCACATCATCAGAAATAGTTACTGGAGCAATAAAACCCGACAGTTAAGCGGCTTTGACGTCAGCGGCCGGGGCCTGGCCCTGGCGGGAGCGGGAGAGCAGCAATAAAAGCGCAGCGCCGCCTCGCCCGGCACCGGGGCCGAAAGGAAAACAGGGAGGGGACGCCACACACGTCAGAGGCGAGGCCACTTCGCCGTTGGGGCAAAGCCAAAGTGCACCGGGAGTGTGAGGGGGCCGCCGCTCCACGGGCCGGCGTGCCGGGAGCCAGGGAGCGCCGTGGGGCGCAGGGAGCCAGTGGGAGCCGCCTGCCGGGTCAAAGTGACAAAGTGACACGGCCCACGACACCGTCCGTGGCCTCGCGGGGCTGCGCCCAGAAACGTCCCGCCTGCAACGCAGCGGCTGAGTGGCGCCACTCTCACCATGCGCCCCTCCCCCGGACCCTCCAGACGATGACACACAGACACAATGGGGACAGCACTCGCAGCGTCCCCGCGCAGGGCGGACAGGTGCAGCCACCAACCAGAGACCTGGAAGAATTTTCCGGCAACTCTAAACGTTATGGGATCAAACTGACGAGGAAGCGCTGGCCACGAGGAGCCCACGAGGCACACGGCCAGGCCACAGACGGAGGGCGCGGGCTCAGACGCTGCTGGGAGACACCTGCCACCGCCGCGGGGCTGGGGGCCGGCGCTGCGTATGGCTGCACGCTGCTGGGGGCCCTCGCCTCTGCAAGGAGCGCAGACCCCCGAGGGAGGTGTGAGTGCTGCAGAGACGTGGGGACACGCAGCAGCTGCAGGCCCCGCACACGCCCCAGCACATGACCCGGCAGACGCCGAGGCGCAGCCTGCCCTCGCCCGCTCAGCCCGTCTCCGCGGCCTCGGACACACTGACGCGAGAACGGGGTGGCAGCCAGCGACAGAGCTCACGGCGCCTGGCACAGGCAGAACGCGGCCAGGCAGGCGCGGGGTCACGGCAAGCCCCCAGGCCAAGGTCTCCACCCGGAAGGACAGGGCCAGCCCCCTGCTGTGCACGGCTCAGAGACAAACCTCAGAGAGGACGTCTGAAATGCCACGGTGAAGTGGCGAAGAGACACGGTGTATGTCAGCCAAAGGAAACCAAGCAAACAAAAGAAACTTCTGGATAAAGAACTTTACCCAAAAAGTAAACCAAGAGAAACAGACTATTTATCTATTTTAGAGCCGGGGTCTCACTCTGTCACCCAGGCTGCAGTGCAGTGGCCCGATCACAGCTCACAGCAACCTCCAACACCTGGGCTCATGCGATCCTCCCACCTCAGCCTCCCCAGTGCCTGGGACGACAGAAGCACAGCGTGCCCAGCTAATTTTTCATTTTTATTTTTGTATGGAGATGGGGTCTCACTATGTTGGACAGGTTGGTCTCAAACTCCTGGCTTCAAGTGACAGTCACACCTTAGCCTCCCAATGTGCTGGGATTGCGGGCGTGAACCACCGTGCCCGGCCAAATAGACCGTGTATCTTGATGAGAATCCTCATCTACCAAAAGAAGTCATTAGTTTTTAAGCACTGAAAAAAAATACTAAAATATATAAAGCAAAAAATAGTTAATAAGGTAAAAAGAATATTACAAACCTATAATCAAAACAGGAAAATTCACTTTTCCAAGAAACCGAGCAGACAAAAAAAAAAAAATGGGTGAAGCATACTGATTTAAATAACTCAACTGGGTTCATACATACATAAAACATGCAAAGAAAACATATACTCTTATATATAAAAATATAAAATATATGAATGAGAGAACTTTAAATGCAGTACTGATATATACATACAGACTTCTTTAGACCAAAAATAACAAGGAGAGCATATTTTCTCTTCAAATGCCTGGGTAACAGGTACAAAATTTGATGATGTCTATACCAGGTCGTTCGAAAATGTGCACCTCAAGGTAAACAGTAACGTGAGTTCAGACAACGGTCTCCCCCGAGCACACTGACGACAATAAAACAGAGCCTCCCCGAGCTGGGACAGTGTGAATGAAGCAAGACATGCTCCCTGGCTCACTGTCATTAGCAAGGCCAGTCGAGACGAGGCCCGGGAGCAACCTGGCAGGAAGCCTAAAGGTGTCTGAGTGCACACGCTCATGGCCCAGGGTCCACTTCCTGGACCCGTCCAGTGGACAGACTTCCAGCAGCAGACAGACACACGTATGATAACTGTCTGATGCCAATTCAGAGCAGCTATGAATAGTGCTGCAGCCACATAACCGTCCGTTTATTCAGCTATCAAAAAGAATAAGTTAGATTCATACACAAGCTGACATCAAGAGATGCTCAGAACTCATTAAAACAGACACACAGAAAACACAGAACCCCACAGGTAGAACTGCACCCTACTGAAACGTTCACACGCATGACGCTGCACGTTTACACGCAGGAAACAGACGCACGCCCACCGAGGAAGCAGCCCGCCCCGAGCAGGGGCAGAGAGTGGGCACATTCAACGCCTGCTCTATGCTCTTCCCTCCAAAGTGCTTAACTTTATCTTACAGTGACCATAAACCATTCCTTTATGTCAATCAATAAACAAATAATTTAAGTCAATAAAACCTTCCTATCTAAATGCAACCTGGACTTGTGCCCTGGGGAGCTCTCAGACAGAGCCGGCCCTGCCTGAGGGAAGGTGCGTGAAGGTTCCGTGCAAGGCCCGAGGGAGGGACCCAGACCCCAGCCCCAGCCTCAGCTCAAGGCGCCAGGCCAGCGCCAAGACCCGCAGAGACTTGGGTGCCTCGCGCAGCCGTCCTAGCATCTGTCCCAGGGCCACCACCTTCCCTCTCTCGTGGATGCGGGACGGAGGCTGGAGTCTAAGTGCCCCTCGAGGCCACCATGCACTGCCAGCGGCAGAAGGCCAGGCCCCGTGTGGGGGGTCCTGCAGGAGGCCCACGCCTGCTAGGCAGGACGGGGCAGGACTCTCCAGGTTTACTGCAGCGTGTGCACGGTGACTTTCCAAGGACACAGAGTGCAACGCCCTAGAGGCACGTGCCCGTGACAACACTGCTGAAGCTCGGAGCAGGACAGGCTGGGTCCCGCCCCATTCAGCCACCGCTCACCAGCTCCGAGACCCCAGACAAGTCACTCCTTCCCTCCAGGTCTGAGATCAGCTGGGGCTGTTGTGAAGACTAAATGCTTGTCAAATGCTCAGCAGGACACCTAATTAAAAATTACTGCAACACCGGGGGCTACTGCCGTGGCCCTGGCCAGCGAGTGGAAACACACGCCTCTTCCCAGAGTCAGACGAGGGAACAGTCTCAGGGGCTCCCACCCTCGACCCACCCCCACGACACGGAACAAGGACGGTGGGTAAGAAATGAACTCTCCAAACCCCACGTGCGCCTTGACACATCGCCCTTGCTAAAGAGCCATTCTGTTCCCCCGCCACCCAAGAAACGTGGGTGCCACTGCCGTCGGCCTGCAAACCGGGGCGGAAGGCTGTACCCCGAATCCTCAGGGGCTTTGCCATGTCTTCCTTCGCCGAGACGAAGAATAAACCACCACGCTGCGCGAGGAAAGCAAACGTCTAAGCTCCAGAGCTGGCGCTGCCGTCGGGAGAACCGCGTTCCGTTAAGCGAGCCCGCTGCTGCCCGAGCGCAGGGCCTCACCTGGATGGCTTTGGGAGCTCATCGCGAGCAGCCTCTGCGCCCCGAAGCAGCTCCAAGTGGCTCAAAATCCCCACGCAGACAGCAGCTCCAAAGAGCCCCGAGCTCCCGGCAACTCATACAAGGACGGCCTCGGGGCAGGCTGGGCCACAACCGCGCCAATCCAGGCGTCACTGGCAAGGTCTTGGGAACCAAGTAATCCAAAGGGCAGGCGGAGTCTTCAACCGGCTTCCCAGGATGAACCTGCGTGGTCAGAAACAGAGAAGAGGCGTAGTTACGATGTGGAAGGTTTTATCTGGAGAGCAATACCGAACTGGGCAAGCCATGACCCAGGGCTTGATGAAACAATCCACATGGAATCATTTCTACAAATGCAAATACGAACCAGTCAGGATTTTTGATAGTAAATCACGTGTATGTATAGAAACGTCTCCGGAGAGCCGGGTTTCCCAAACTCAGCACTGCTGACAATGGGATGGAAATTCAGTTGCAGGCTTGGGGGGGCTGCCCCGCACATTATACGGTATTTAGCAGCATCCCCGGCCCCGCCCACTAGATGCCAGTAGCATGCCCCCCCACCCCCCTTGTGACTGCGAATGTCTCCAGAGAGTGACCACTGTCCCCTGGGGCCAAAACCCACCCCCCTGGCTGAAAATCTCTCATCTACAGGCACCATCCCCACCCCCCCAGAAGTTTCCTCATCGCCGGGTTTTGGAGAATAAACCACAGACTATGTCCTAATATAAACATTTTCTAAATTACATTATCTTGGGAAATAAGCAGAAAACGTTTTAAAAGAAAAATCACTCTCAGCCCAGGCCCACCACACATCGTGACGTTTCTGCACACCTGTCCCAGCCCACGTGCACGGGCATTCGTAGTCACAGCCTCTGCACAGTCACAGACCTTAAACTCAGCTTTCCTTACTTAACGTCATGCCTTGATAGTTCCCCACGTTTCCGTCTTCATGATTGCTGCCTTCTCAGGTGTTTTTTGTTTTTTAATTTTCTGATTATAAAAGGGACGCATGCTCATCACAGGAGAGCGTGTGGAACGCAGTCACACGGAGGTGGGCTCTTAGTCGCACTCTGATGTGTTTCCCTGCGGCTGTTTCTGCCGCCTTTGCCGGAGCAAACTGCCGGCCACGCAGCTGTCCGTCCCGTTCTCTTGTGACGCTGCAGCCAGGTATTTTCCAGTGTCGTTAGCACCTGGCAAGCATCACTTGGA